GTGGAAGCAGATGATGAGACACTCAGGGAGTCTTCAATCACTATGAAACCACATCAGAGAAATCAAAAGTCATGAATGCTCTGACATCATCTGTACCATACCTACATGAAGACACATTCAAGCGTTATGACTGAAAATCAGGATGGCGATTGATTACCTTTAACGACTGTCTTAGCAGAATACTCTCCATCATAAGCACCTTCTAAGTTGACTGCAGTACATTCATATTCCCCTTCATCAGTTTTCTGCAGACTTTTTATCTCGAAGCGGACTGAGTTTGGTGAGAGACGTTTCAAAGTAATTTCATTTTTTCTCACACGGGATAGGTGAGAAGAATATCCAAAAGTATCTTCATGTGAACTGATGATTTGGATCTCAAAGTCTGGGTTTGAAGGCTTCGTCATACGGAATTCAAAATGTTTGTCAGTGTTTTCACTTCTGAAGCCACTCACACTGCAGGTGATGGAGAGGGGAGAGCCTAACACACGATACAGAGGCCCAGCTTGTACTTCAGTTTTCACTCTGGCCTCTCCTGAGTAAAGCAGAGACAAAACGCAAATGAAGTCATCTGAATCCTGAAACTTTGAAGTGTCACTCATGTATTTACAAGTATATTTATAAGTATCTAACATATACTGTAGGTTATGGCACACTGCATGAATTGTGCATAGAACATCCATTGATATACAGGTGCACACAATGTTTTCAGAAAGATTTTGACATTTTTTATTTTTTGAGGTCTTATTTCCCTGTGGAAATATGTTTGTATGACATTTATGATTAAAAGAAAATGCTTGCAAGTTTTGTCAGATATCACCTGTAACGGTGTGTGCTGTTGGCTCGATTGGCTTTATTTATTTCATGCAGGAATATATATTTTTCCCCACAGAAAGCAAACATTACTACGGTACTTTGTCATAAAAGTGATTCGTGAAAAGTGAAAATAATTTGGAGGAGCTAATTTTCTGTAGCAACTAAACTGATATTAAACTATGGAGACCAAAAAGAATTAGCATTTATCAATCAGTGAGTTTACTCTGAGGTTTCTTCTAAATATAATTTCATAAAATGTGAAAAAAACATTTACAGACAACACAAACAACATATTGGGTTTATCTGAGACATTAAAATTAATATTATGGAACTACAGGAATTCACTGTACTACTTACCACAATATAAAAGTTGACCCAAGCAGAGAATCACACCCGCCCTCCAAAGAGAGAGCACGAAACTCATCGTGTGCCTTCAACTTCAGGCTCAACACTGTACGTCCTCGGCTGCGATCAAGCCCTTGGTTAATGTGTACTGTGTGATCTCTCTGTGCCTTTTCATGCCTTGATTTGCCTGCGCTTCAGGTACGTTACGAACCTCTTTGAAACCTTTCACGCCGTAAATGGGAACATAATGACGTGCAATTTCTTGGAAATGTTATTGCGCGTCCCGCTGAGGGAGACGGCTACTATTGTGATTGGCCTGTTCAGACTGCTCCTGTGCATTTCCGGTGTTCTGACAAACCATCCTACTTTGGCAAAACGTCCTACCGCAAGTAGTTTATGCACATTTCTGCTGTCACAGATTCATTTCAGCACAAATGTAAGTAGGTATAACGGGTTGCCACTTAACTTTGCCCATCAGAGTATGCTTGTAGCTCATAATTATAAAGCCAGGACGGTTTGCCACTTCATTTTAGCCGTTAAAGTATGCTTGTAGGTCACATTCACAAAGGTAGCATGGTTTGGCACGTAATTTTACCTGTCAGAGTATGTGTCTAGCTGTTATTAACAAAGGTAAGATGATTTGCCACTGAATTCTAGCTGTAAAATGATGCTTCTAGCTCATATTCACAAAGGTAGGATTGTTCGCCACTTAATTTTAGCTGTTAAAGTATGCTTGTACGTCACATTTACAAAGGTAGGACGGTTTAGCACTTAATTTTACCCATCAGAGTATGTTCGTAGCTTATATTCACATAGGTAGGATGGTCCGCCACTGAAATTCGTGTTGTGCGCATGCGTAGAAACAACGGGTAGGATGGATTCCCAGAACACCTGGCCTCGTAAATGTCAGTGAATTCCTGTCGGGAAATTGCCAAACAGTGTACGAAGAAGTGGAAAAACTGGAACGACAACTGGGCTTCTTTTTTTTTTCTTTTTTTTCTTGCTTCCCCAAAACAAGTGGGGAGAGAGAAGGGCAAAACTGACCACCGCTAGACATTACAAATACATGTCTTAAAAATAAAACCTGCTAGACAGCAAGTCGCTTCCACCTCTGAATTCGTGCAAACGAAACTCATGTCTTTGCGCGTTCCCAGCAGGTAATGCACGTTTTTGACATTGACATTTACATCCTTGATCAGATTCTTGCATAGGCAGCTTGAGATAAAGTAGTTAATTATGCTGCTTAGGACCACCCCATCTAAATTCGGTCACTTACTGCAAAGTTTGCAAGCTTGAATGTGATTGTTTGAATGATGCTGTATATTAATGAGGCAATAGTACCACCTAGTGGAGAACATAAAGACGTACAGTTTATCCAGTCATATTCAAATCGGCATTTTAATTTGCAGACTGCTTAAAAATAGTGGGGGACTTTATTTTTAAATGTTCATAAAATTAACAAAATAACGTTTTGTGTTTGTCATTCTCTACCCTGATGCCATAAAAAATATTCTTAGGTATGTTCAAAAAAGGCATAAAGAGCTTCACAGCAGCAGTTTCTACTCTTAAAAACCTTGGCACTGTTGCAGACTGGTGGCCTGTCCAGGGTACACCTCGCCCTGTGGTGGCTGGGAAAGGCTCCAGCCCCTCCAGGACCCTGAATTGGGCATGCAGATGAGAATGAATGGATGTATTCAACAGAAATGCTAAGAACTAGGAGACTGTATTAGTCCTTAAACAAAATACACATTTGTGAGACAAATACAGAAAGTAGTATGGGGAAAAAACATTTTATGAAGTGAGTATCAATCAGAAAACATCCATCTATCCTTATTACCATATTCACCATATTAAATTCTGGTTAAGAGAAAAGAGACTTGAAATGATGAAAGAAAATGTATTCTAGTGTAAACTGTTCAGGACATGCGTTTAAGAATAAAAATATTAGAAATTCACTCTGAATGAGACAGAATAGAAACTGCAAACAAACCAGAAATGCTCTGTAGGCTAAACCGTGAAGCTTCTACAGGCCACATGCCAATCAGTGATGTTTTTAATTAGGAGCAAAAAAAGAAAACCAGCTAGAGATGCAAAGTGTTTTTACCTTTCCCTGCACTGCCATGCTTCGTCCCTGTTTGAATCAGCATGGATTATAATCATAACAGAAACTAGGGATCTATAGAAGTAATATATGGCACAGATTCCCAATTTATTCACACCTCCTATGGAACAATACATAAATAACACCAGGAGTTTTTTTCCAGTTCAAGTTGGCACATAATTAAGCAGAAGCCTGCTAATAATGGGTGAATTGCATGTAGTATCATGTATCATGAAACCTTTTCTTAGCTTCATTAGGACTTTGAGTCTTCTTTTGAGCTATAGACTGAACAATATGATATTCCTACATCTCAATTAGATCATCTCTTTGTCCTAAAGTCCTATTTTGAGACTTACAGTGTTTCACAGACCTGCATGTTTCATTGTCACATCAAGCTGCTGCTCAAAATGCAGGTGAAAGACACACTTACAGAAACATTGAAAGAAATAAGGGTTAAGTTTTCCAGAATTATAGATTTGATTAACCTCTTAAGCCGCAACGCCCCCTGATACGGGGGCAAAAGGCAGGAGATCAGGTAGACTTGGGGCTTAAGAGGTTAAAGAAAATTGGGGGGATGGAGATCTTGGCTGTGAACCAGAGGCTATGGAATCAGTTTGGAGCCACCCATAAGGACCAGCGGGTTTCCCCGGACATCTTCTGTTCCTTCAGGAAACTGCAGTCACCTTCTATGAGTGCTCACACGCTGTTGTTTTAGCAGACTTAATGTTTAACATGTTTGCAGTCTAAATGTTGGGGAATATTGCTGACATTTATATTTTGGACTAAATGGAATTTCTTTTCTTGCAGTTTTAGGATCTTGAACACTGGAATCTTGAGCTGATGATGGCTCTCGACTCAATATCGAAGGACCACAAAACTCAGTAGCTGTACTGAAGTTAACAACCATCAGATCGTCTTTATTATTATTGCCAACGCGAAAAAGAAATATCGCATCCTGTTGTTGGAGCTAGATGGAAACCTAGGGGTTCGTCAACGTTATCTAGACATTTCACCCAAAAAATGTCCTCATGGTGGTGCTAGAGGTGAGGCCACAGGATCCACAACATTACAAGTGGCACTAATATTCTTCCTGGCACTTTGCCATTTAAGTGTGCTAAACAACCAGACAGGCAGCATGCACAACTGACATATGAAATCTACTCATTGTTTGTGTATGCAGGTACGGACAAACAGAGTCATTGTTTTTGTAAAAGCAGCGTTCTTTCAGTGTCATTTCCCACGAAAAGAAGGGGAAATGTGTAAGCCTACTGCTTTAATATCACTGACCTCTATCATATAAAATTATATAAAATCATATCCGTCAATGCAACATTTGTGCAGCGATTTGCCTCCCAAATTTTTGTTGGTTTTTTGTTTGCCCCGACAGTCATTGCCATGGCAACACAAGCAAGTGAAATTACAGTAACGTTTAGGGGGAGGCTGTACCAAGGAGCCGAGTCCACCACTTTGTAAAATTCAACCAATTCAAAACAGCACAACATCTCTCTGAGGCCGAGAGAACTACAGTCTGCCATAAAGTGCTCTTTTAGTCTCTCACATCTTTCAGAGCGACGCTGCAAGTTTTACCTCAACTTGTATACAAACACCACACAAAAGCCTTCCTTTTCTTTCAGCTGTTCACTGAAAAGGAAAGGCAACAAATTGATTCAATTCTAGTCTTTTGCACAGATGGACTGTTAAAGATTCATAGAGGGTGATGCAGGAAGCATTGAGTGAAATAGAGAAAGAATGACAGAGTGTGAGACAGCACACATATATAGTACATTGCATCATATGTGCCCCTGCATAGCCACACACTATTATTGTTTATGTCTTTTTATATTTTTATTATTTTGACACATTGACACGTCAAAGTGCTGACTTTATTTTTCACTTTGAAAGCACTCACATCAACATAAAAGCAGTCCTTCAGGGGCAGTAGACCTGCCCAAGCCTATAACTTTTGAAAAAATAAAATTCATAGAGGAATACAATCCATAAAAAAGTAACACTCAACTTAACAGCCAGTGGGACAAAGGCAAGATGAATAACCATGAATTAAAATGCTTTAAATGGCTGACCAATACCTATGTCCACCATATGTGTGCAGTTCATTTTTACAATCCATTGATATTCAGTATCTTATCTAATGATGAACTGTCAAGGTCTATTCTTTAGATGGCTTTTATCTTCAGTTAAAAATTTAAATCAGAATTATTGTTTCAAGCCACAGCAATGGAAAAAAATGTAATACTAGATTGCATGTGACAAACAAAAAAAACGAGACACACACACACACACACATATATATAACACTGTGCATCATGGCTCAGATGCAAATGAGAAATACTGTCATCACCAAACAATTTCGTAAGCTTTAGAAAAACAATTTTGTAACGATAGCAAAAAAGGGAAAAGTTTGCATTAGTAAGTATCTTGTGAAAATTCTTAAGAACATTGTGGCAATCAGTATCTAACATTTAAATGTCTGCCACATGGACAACTCAGCAGGATTTCAAGACCACACAGTCATTCTGAGCATTACCACAGCACTTCCCGGTTGAGTAATTGCTGAACTAGTTAGACATTCACCACAATTTATGCTTATAACTGCATGAAAACGTGCTACATTGCAACGTCTTCGCAGATGTGAAGCCACAGACTCACCACAGTTCAGCTGCTTGTGCATTCGGGCCTTAAAAATGAGCAGAAGTATTTATAAAATGAGAATTGCCTTTCTAAATGTAATTTCATTAACTCCTAAAGAAAAAAAATCTTCCTACCTGTACTAAAAGTAAATCAGCAGAGCTACTTCATGGAATGTTATAAACAAATGAATGGACACAATTATTTAAATGGAAAATTTTACATATTTTTGCATCATATCTAAAATACGCCAAAAAAAATGTCTTTGCTGTTCAATCGTCTCCACTGGGTTTCTTGTTCATAGGTACTGATTCAGCCCAGAGAGATGAAGATGAGTTTTTTCCTTGTGAGCTTTTACTTCTGCACACCTTGAACATCAGTAATAACATAACCACCACCATAATGATGAGAACTGCAATAACGATTGTATAGGTTGTTGTGTTGCATTCAGATACGGCATTAGCATTAGCATCACCTGCAAAGAAGAAGACAAAGAAAGGTATTTCCAGATGATCTTGTGATATTTACTGAGAGAAATGACTAAGTGTGTTAAGACATGCCTACCTTCTGTGAGAACACTGACATTGAAATGCCCTGACTTTTCCACTGCAACTTTTCTCCACCCACGAGACAGAGAAGGCAGCCACTCCTCTACCTCACAGAAATACAGGCCACTATTATCAGGACCAGGATTCAAGAACGTGAGGCTGAATTGGCTGGGGTCAGGGTGGTCGTATCTCAGGCGAACATTCTCCCCAAACCTGTCCTGTAGAGTCGAGTTTCTGTAGACTGTGAATATGGGGCGCTGTTTCGTTTCTATTTCTTTCTGCCAAAACCATGTGACCTGGAACTTGGATTCATGGCTGGATTGTTTGTTGATGTTACAGGGGA